TTCCACCGGCAAAAGCCGAAGGTTCAGTAGAAAAAAAAAAAAAAAAATCAGGAATCTGTAACTTACTTAGAATTGTACTGCACAGCACACCATGCATGAGAAGGGTTTTTATTAATAACAGGTGTACATTTCAATATCCAAGAGTGCATAGACCAGAAACATATGTATTATAGTGTTCTACATGTACACTAATACAAATTTACAATTCGCTATTTGAAAATTAAAGCAAATATGCTAATATATTTTTAAATGTTCTGAAACTTTATGAAGCTCTTTACTGGGCAGTCATTGTTAGTAATCTGCTGTGTGCAATGCATATCGCATACTTACACACACTGATAAAACACCAATCGCTCCCATTTCCATGAAAGGATCTGGGTTTTTTTTCAGTGGCAGAGCTATCAACCAATCCGAGGAGAGTCCGAAGCCGTGGGTCAAAAACAGAAAAGGGTCAAAACCGGGAGTCCAAACAGAGTCAAAAATCGAGCGTCAAAAACAGAAGGGAGACAAAAACCGATTGTCAAAATACGAAACGAATCCAAAGCCGTTAGTCAAAGTCCGAAAACAAGTCAAAAACCGAAAAATAGCCGGAAAATTCACTGTAAAATCTCGCCAAACTCACAAAAACACCAACCGCACAAATCGCCAAAACTCCCAACAGAGAATTCTACTAAAGAATGTTCATATACCTGCTGCACTCCTCACGTCATAATTGCGCTCTGCTGACGATGTAGAATATCTTAATATACAGTAGTCCAGCGGTTTAATTACATTACTAAATGTGCATACATTAATATTTAAGACACTGAAATAAAATAAATAAAATTAAAGCACATTTTATAATACTGCGATGCAAATAAATAAAAGTGTCAACAGAGTGAATACAGCTACATATTGAAGTTTCCTCATATTTCAACTAAAATATAAATTTGCCAATGAATGTTAAATAACTTCAGCAAAGAATTTATTATAGGTCAAATTCATCCACAAACATGAATTTAATAGCGTAAACAATATGTACAAACATGAACTTAAAACATATTTTACAAGACACAAAAGCAAAACAAGAGAAATAAAACTATAATGGTAACACTTTACACTAAGGTTCCATTTGTTCACACCGGTTAACTATAGTTCACAAACTAACAACAACAACAACAAAAAACACTGTTTAATTTTAGCATTCACTCATTCATTATTAAAATCAAGCTGTCTGTGAACTAACAATGAACAGTTGTATTTTTATTAACTATGGTTAACGGAGATTAATAAATACTGTACCGAATGTATTTCTCATTGTTAGTAAATGCATTAGCTGATGTTCACTAATGATACCTTACTGTAAAGTGCTACCAACTAAAAAAAAACTGCAACTGACAGGATTACCAGAGGACTGTACTACAAAACTATTTAAAGAAATTCAATACAGGATTGGTTTCATCATTGTTCATTATATATATATAATAAAAAACAAACATGAAGAATGTAAACACTTACACAGCATAAGAGATCATGATGAACACAGAGTGAGAGATACAGGATGAGTGACTTCACTGCACGTCTGAGACAAGCCGATTGGTCAAATATATGTTTGTGACCTGTGATTGAGACTAACTTGCACTGGAGCAAGTTAGTTGTGCAGTGTTTGCTACTATTCCAATGAACACCAATACACCTTTGTAGTACTTAATTCTAACTGGTTAATCTTGCTTTGTGGCACAGGTCTCATCATCCTTGCATAATAATCCTAAAATTGTCTGGATAGTTGGTTGATAAAATTACAACATTCCTAATAAATTATGAGTTGCAAATTACAAATTACATGTATTGAAAACAATACATGATGTTTCAGTTTGAAGTACAAAGCAAATACAGACTCCACACATGAAGGGAGTTATTTAGGTATATGCTGCAAATTAACTGTTGCAGGTGAATTTGAGGAACCTCTGCCATTAAATTAATTTTGTACTTGTTTAATGCTGCATGTTTCTGATGTGAAGTTGAGCTTGAAGAGGACAGTCTGAGGTGTGGTGGCATCAGCAACAGCTAACTCCTGTCCATCAGCCAATCCCAACTCTTCAACACACACACAAATCATAGTATTTAAAAATCATGGCATTTATAAAAAGGATAATGCTGTCAACATTCTGACCATTTGGGAATTCAATTTCAACTGTGCTTTTGTGTTTCTGATGGCTGGAAAACATCTCACCTTTCAAAGTTTTGCAGAGATTGGGTCTTGTTCTTTCTTCAATTGAGGCAATGCTCTGAAGGACACAAATAAAACCTTAATATTTAAGCAGTACAAAAAATACAATAAACATCACTATATTCAGAATCTTAGCATATTAGGGGGCAATTACCTGCAGGTAGAGTGTTTTATTTTTGCCTTCAAGTGTTGCAGTGATAGCTGGGGACTTCATTTGACTAAAAACAGTTTCAAATTCAAGTAGATCAGTATTTATAAATCATTTGCCGTGAGAGAGAGTTAATGGGAATCGTGTACTTACAGAGAAGCATTCTCAGTCAGATACTCCAGCACCTCTTGCAGTTTTGCAGATGGTGGGAACTGTAGTTTTTGAGGAACCTGACTACATGCTGTACAGTTGTCCTGTCAATCATAACAGGCAATATCACAACAGCTGGGATCATTTCACATCTTTTACTTTCAAAAAGCTGAATCTTTGTAAAGAGACCTTAAATGAAAGTTTGTAATTGTGTAACAGATAAAAGATTGAAAATGTCATCATTACCTTTCGCTCTGCTTCAAAAGTATAAGTATACAATCCATCCACATCATTAAAAACCAGATAGTTATTCAATGGGATATATGCACTGAAAGAAAACAGACACACATAAATGAAGGTCTAGATTAGGTGACTAGTAAAATGTTTTAAATATACATTTTGCAGTTTAGGTTAAATGTTTGAGCAATGTGGCTTGGTTCATAAGATCTAAACACAAAAGGTTTTCACAATAAATGTTTTTTTTTTTTTGGTTTGTTTTTTACTGGCCATGAAACAAACTTGAAATGTCAAAATGTCAGAGATGGAATCAAAACATACAGATGATTCACCTTGTAGCAATTTTAAAAACCTCTGTGGCGCAAGAAGCTGAAAATGGGGGGAAAAATTAAAACTCAACTACATAAATTAAGAATTTTAAAAAATAATTTGATTTCCTCTCAGGTTCGATCCATACCAGCGATGACTGCATTTGTGGATGCAACAGCAGGGATGATTCGTTTAACCACACCTGAAAGAAAAGCATGAACATCTTAGAATTACAGTCTACAAGAAAGCACTCTTGAAGTTTCTCAGATACATCAGTCCAGCCGGCTTTACCTTGAGTGAGTCTGTAGGTGACACCCGTGATATTAAACTCAGCTGCTCTCTTTAGAGACTCCTGGAACACCCACTGAACGTGCTCTGGGTTATCACCATCCAGACCAACAGCATCTGCAGACACACAACAATCACACGGCAATGTAGAGCCATTCAATCCATTGTCAAAAATTACAGAGTCATAAAAACTCCTAAAAAGAAATATATATTATATATATACATCTTAAACACCTCCAAAGGGTTTGTCTTTGGGCCACTGCAGCACTCTCACATACTCTATGCAGTGCTCTGGTAGCCGTGGCATTGAGGCAATAGTGCACATTGGGAAAGTGATCTGAAGAGAACACAGACAAAAGCAGACAGTCACTTCATCTCAGCAATACGAGTGATATACAATTGTATGGTAACAGCAAACCCTTCATTTACAGTGATGAATGGAATTAACAGCCTATGAGAGTGAGACTACAGTACTTGTGGTGGGTAAAGCTCCAGTGTGCAGTCTATACAGGCTGTCATTCCCGGCAGGATGACTCTTGCATTCCCTTTAAAGCCCTCTGTCCCTCCATCTATCAGAGGAATGATAGAGCTGGGATCCAAAACTCCATCTTCATAAGAGAGCAGGGACAACTGAAGAGAAACCACACCAACTACAGTTAAATCAAAACATGTCTGTCAGGGCTTATACAGCTACTGTGGCAGACTATATAATGGTTACTCCAATACTGCATATTCCTTTTCACAACCACAGATTAGTCAGCTATGAGCCCAAATGTAGGCTTAAGTAAAATAAAATGCACAAAGAAGAAAAGGATTTGCGATGAAATTTCATTGGCAAAAGGAAAATTACTGAATTTAAGTTACTTTACAACAGCAAAACTACTTTACAGATGATTTTAGTATTGTTACAAGTGCTTTTACAGCATTACGCAAAAACCTTTCAGGGTTTAATTCGCAATAAAGACCTGCTGGCTGCACATCATTCCTCTTATTACACAAATGAAGTATTTAAGATATTTTAAATAAAAACTAAATAAAATAAAATTCTGAGTAATAATTAAAAATACAATATTTGTAAATACAAATATTACAGATGGATGAGGAAATAAAATGACTGTGTGGATTGTCCGTCAATGGTTAGAAAGGGGGCAGTGTAGTTTTAAAGTGCTGGCAGTTTCAATGTTTTATTTAGCAAACATTTGTTTACTGGCTTTTGATAAAATCCAAATCAGTTTTCAAAGTTAAATGCATGATGTATCAGAACTGACCAGCATCCCATTGATCCAGCGCCTGGCAATGATTGAGTCCAGCCCACAAACAGTAATATGAAACTCTACAAGGCAAAGAAGAAATATTCATAGATCAGATCATAGAGTCTATAAATACTTCATAGAGATGGTTTCGGATATAATGAAAAAATCTGCACTCACGTCTATAAAATGAAGCATCAAAATCCTGAATTTTTTTAAAATGTCTGAAATCAAACTAAGAAAATACAATATTTGTTTCATTCACAGAGATGTTAAGCATGTGTGTTCAGCACGTCAGTAAGTGTAAAGTCATAGTCACAGCATTATTTTAAAGGATACGGTACAACATTACAACCAGGAACACGCTGGTTTATAAACTCAGCTGCCACATCTGCTTTAGGTCGGCCAACATCTTTGGACCTTAAAGACGTTAGGCATAAACAAAATGAAATAATGTAGGTGCCACCAAACGTGGATATCTGTTTTAAAATGCACACATTCATACCTAAAGAGGAACTGTCTGTTGAGGTTGGAGACATCAATGATGTCCATATCCACAACATGAATATGACGAAAACCTGACAGAGCCTTTAAAAAAAAAAGTATTATCAACAGTTTTCACTAAGTTAAAAATCAGGGACTGGATTGAAAAAATATATAGAGAGACCTTACCAGGTTTTTCAGTAGTTCACAGCCAAGACCCCCAGCTCCAATGACCAGGATTTTGCATGTTTCCAACAGAAACTGTAATGTCTTTTAAAATTAGGAAAAAATGTCCAAAAAAAAAAAAATAGAAAAAAAAAAATATATTACTAACTAAATAATATAAAAGTACTAAAAAGCAAGCAAAATTGTCCGATTTTTTCCTCACCTCCTCACTAGGTTCAAAGTCTGGGTGTGTGAAGGGGCCAGTTCTCTCCAGGAACTTCTGCACATGACTCCAGCGGCCATCCCAGTCACCAATACTGCAACCTTCAACTGCCATGCTAGCAAAAAACAAAATGAAAAAAATACCAAAATATACTTAAGATACATGCAACAACCACCAGAATTTAAAACAATAATTACCTACACTAAACAAAAAAAAAATATATATATATATGGCTCTGATTTCTCAATGAAATGTTTGATAAAAGTTATCTCTATAAATCTTTTTTGCACTCGTCATGAATCTTCAAACATTTGACTCACGTTGTTTTAATTGTGACGCACATGTTTCAAAATGCAGAGGTTTCTGAACGTAGTTTATCTGTCAATGAGCTATTAAGTGCTGTCGATACAGTATTCTTACTTGTAGCCCATGCAGCACAGTAAATAAACAACTGGAACTTACTAGAATAACACTTGACATGGTTTAAGAGTTTTATATCGAGAAGAATGCGACAATAAGAAAATCACAGCTAAAGCTCAGACGTAATTAAAGTGATAATGACAGTTCTGTCTGAGCACAGACCAGACCTAATGAAGACCATTACTGCACGACAGAGTAATGCTAAATTTCATTAGGTGCCTTGAAAGTTATTAACAAGCCTAGCAGCATAACAATTCTATGCTATGTGTGCTGCTAATATCTTGCCCTTCACAAATTAAAATCCGATTAATCATTAGATTCTTGTTACTTTCTCCGCTTTGTTTACAAGTCAAATGCAGGATGAATTTTCAGTCCCTATGCTGAGCAATCCTCAAACCTGCAGCCAGCTCTTAGCATTTCATCACTAACTTCTCAGTCAGCGCCGCTATTCTCCTTCTTTTCTTTTCCCTAAAAAGAAGAAACGAGAGAAGGCTCAAACAAGCTTGCACACGACCACATATCCGTGTAATAATGTTGTAATGAGTTCATCTGCGCTCATTGTTCGTTCTGCGGCACTTACGGCTCTTCTCCATCCGCCATACTTTCAGCGTCCCATTCTTACCCATCCTGCTTTGCGGCGGCGAATCTGTCACCGTTCAAGTCGAAATGCTCGCCACTTGGGAGGCCTGTAACCCACTTCAAACTCCATTTAATTTGACAGAAAGATTTTTTTTCTTTGCAGATTTGAGCATGTGCTGGAGGGATGAAGCACAGCGCCACTGGTTTATACAGTTCGACATTAAATGTCATGGTTATCTGAAAAAGGTATAAGAATATAAATTATGTATGCAGCACAAAACTAAATGCTACCAGTGCTTGTGTACAGCATCAAGCTATACTTTAATTTTACACACTGACCATGAAAATCACAATGACTGGACCTTTTACTATGCCTTTAATAGTTTATTTTCTTTTATTCATAGAATTAATTTTT